ACGATGTGTATCGTGCCTGGTGACGATGTGTATCGTGCCTGGTGACGATGTGTATCGTGCCTGGTGACGATGTGTATCGTGCCTGGTGACGATGTGTATCGTGCCTGGTGACGATGTGTATCGTGCCTGGCGACGATGTGTATCGTGCCTGGTGACGATGTGTATCGTGCCTGGTGACGATGTGTATCGTGCCTGGTGTATCGTGCCTGGCGACGATGTGTATCGTGCGTGGCGATAATATACATCATTGTCGAGGTACGATATTCAGCAATAGCGGCAGTTATCGTACGTTGTTAGAGGACTGCAATCTCGTGCTTAATTGTCAATAAATGCTAATTGCATTTACGCTCTTAAGCTTACTGCGCTCGGTTTATGAACGCAAAGACAATATTGCTCAGCAAGCTCCTGATCAAAATGTATAATAATTGCAATATTTTAATAATAGTGCAGGTAATTTCGTTCCTCCACGCTTGTTAACGTAAGTGAACGATGGAGTACAGTTCGTATGGTTACAAGTTTTTGACTTGCGCATAGAAAAATGCAGCAGCAAAGAGGTATGTTTTTCACTTGGTATGAGGAAGTTTTCCCCAAGGTCATTTACTAAGCCGTGTGAATATACGGAAATGAATCGAAAGCTGCAACCGAACCTGCCGAGATTTCACTCTCGCTTTTCTTTCGCTGCTATACCTGTTCTGTGTTTGATCTTACTTGGTATCCATCATCTTTCGGATCGAATACAATATTGAATTTTCCATTTTCAGGAAAATCCGAAGACTTCGTGACTGTCGCCGATCTTTCCATCAAGGAAACAGACGCGGATGAAAAATTGGCCATCGAACAGCTACGTCGAACGGGAGGAAAACCGCGTTCCACCAAGACACAATCTACCTCATATACGACCACCGCTACATCCTCTCCTCTCCAGGAGTTCTTGGCTGCGGTCAAAGACAAAACTTTAGCTGATGAGTCCGCTCCGCCTGAATTAAAGGCATCCGAGGGGCAAAGATCAAAACAACAACCAGGCGCTACCACGAAATCCGAACCTGGGACTTCTGAATCTAGAGTCTCCGGGTCATTTATGGCCGGTACCGGCAAGCGATCTGAATCTAGAATCACTCCATATACAAAACCTGGAACTTTGAAGCCATCGGACTCTAAAGCTTCAACATCGCGTGTCTTGGCGCCTTCTCCTTGTGAACCCAAAGCTGCTGGATCATCAGAGTTGCTCGACTCTGCGATCCACGAAACTAGCTTTTCAGGGTCACCGAGATACCCAACTAGAACTCCTAGATCTGGAACTTCCTCCTGTCTTCAACAATCAAATACTCCTCAGGACCACTCTTTGGTTCGCGCCTCGGTTCGTGGGTGCAAATTCGTGAAGGTGGATGGCGCAGGTTTGGATTCCCACGCAATGCGTGAGAGCCTGATGCTGCAGAAGGCTTTGGCCACAAGGCTGGCCGACAGCCCTCGGGATTACGACGAAAGCTTCGACTCTCGTCGGACAAGTCAGACAAAAAGCAAAGGCCGCGATAACGCTCAGGGAAAAAACAAAGCAGATGTTATATTTGAACGAGCAGGAATAAGCAGCGCGTGCGGCGACAGTGAAAGTGAGCTTGAGTCGCTAACTTGGCTTGCTTCTGGTGCTGCTTCTGGAGATAGAACGGCCACTCTAGCTAGTGCTAGTGGTACTAGTGCTAGTGCTGGTGGTGCTAGTGCTAGTGCGGCTACCAAAATTTTTGCTAGTACCTTTAGTTCGGGTCAGGAGAAGAGCAATAAGAGGAAGAGGGTTAAAAAGAAGCTTGAGATTCGCCGTAGGTTCGTAAAACAGCTGCTAGTACGAGGGGAAAACGTTGTTCTGGTGAACGTTCTCTAAGTAATTCGAAATTAGTTTTGTCATAAATATCTGCTGGGTTCTCACTTAACTCGGAAGTATTTCTTATTTTATTTGTTCTCAACTTTGGTTATTGTAATTTCAGAGTAGTTATGACCATTGGCTTTCTTAACTTTTCACAACCCTCAACTTTCTTCAATCTTAAACTTACTCACAATCGCCCACTCACTTTTCAACATTCGCCATTCTTCACTTTAGCCGTTCCTACCATTTACCATTTCTCACAATAAACATCAACCTTTCACGTCTTCAACATTTCTCATTATAACCCACTTCACAACATTCATTAAGTTCACCCATTCCTCAATATTCCCCTTTCCTCAACATCTCTTTCCTTGTATTCGCTACCAATTTTTTGTATACTGTGAAAGCATGCGCAACAGAGTATGTTTATTGCGCTGCCTCTGTCACAATTGAGCCCTTGACTATTTTGCCTGATGTATATGCACGTGTAGTTACAATTGTACGTCTGGCACCTGCACGTGTCATCACAATTGTACGTCTGGCACCTGCACGTGTCATCACAATTGTACGTCTGGCACCAGCACGTGTCATCACAATTGTACGTCTGGCACCTGCACGTGTCACCACAATTGTACGTCTGGCACCAGCACGTGTCATCACAATTGTACGTCTGGCACCCGCACGTGTCACCACAATTGTACGTCTGGCACCAGCACGTGTCATCACAATCATAATTGTAGTTTCCTCTGAATTATTACATTTTTATTCGCCGCCATGCATTTTTATTTAATTCCCGTTGACAAAAGAAGGATATCTTTACTCTCAACTACCTCACGTTTTTTAGACTAACATTAAATTTGCGTCAACAAATTTGTTACTCATCATGACATCTGAATCAGTTAATATATCCTGTTCATCAAGACTACCATCAAGACGCATATCAAGACTACCATCAAGACGCATATCAAGACTACCATCAAGACGCATATCAAGACTACCATCAAGACGCATATCAAGACTTCAAGACCACCATCAAGACCACCATCAAGACTACCATCAAGACCACCATCAAGACCACCGCATGAGTTATGCAATGTACATCGAACGATTGAACTTTCCATTGCATGAAAACCTCAATATTCAAAACCACATTAAACATTCAAAAAAAACATTCAAAACACAGACATGGTATACATATTGTCATACATGTATAGTTTACACAGAGCGCTGTGCATTAAGACTGTACGCGACGACGCATTTCAAGGGCAGCTTCTTGCGTACAGACTTTCACCAGCTGTACCCCCCCCTGCATTTGCGCTACCAGCTGTACTTCCCCCTGCACTTGTGCTACCAGCTGTACTCCCTCCCCCCCTCTGCACTTGTGCTACCAGCTGTACCCCCCCCCTGCACTTGTGCTACCAGCTGTACTTCTCATTGCACCTGTACTATTACAGGTATTACACACCATAACACAATGCTATTCCTACCAGTTCTGTTGAATTTTGTAAGGAAAATGTAGTGGGTATCAAGTAATCGTATGCCGAACTTTCGATAATTTAGTTAGAATAGATAATTAGTTATTTGTTTGCAGCAGATTTATTCGTTACGTGAATACTAGGTCTTCATTTAGACTTCTTGATTTTTATGAGATGTATTTTATTCGTATCGGTTCCAGAAACATTAAAAATGCATTAAAAGCAACAATTCGTGGTCTTGAAACTTCCTGAACGAAACTGAAGGAACTCCAAAGGTATCCTGTAATGAGGGGACATGAATATTATAAAGTGAGGGTATAGGTGACCAAAATAATGCCTTTTTTATGCATAGATATATTTTGTATGGAAAACTTCAATAGTCGCCAGCAAAATCGCGAGAAAAGCGACTACGACGCGTGGTGTGATAACGTGAGAGTGGTGCGCCGCGTGACATGGTGTGAGTGACGCGTGACATGGTGTGAGTGACGCGTGACATGGTGTGAGTGACGCGTGATACGTGAGGGGTGCTTGAGAGATGCGTGAGTGGTGCGTGAGTGATGTCTTCGTCCGAGGGTGCGCCGGTGGAGGGATAAACGTGGCGCGGCCGCACGCGCGAGGGCAACACGTGACTCATGATATGCGCTCCCCTCTCCTGCCCCTCTTCTTCCCTTCTCCTCCCCTTCTCCCTCCCCTCTCCTTTCACTCTCCTTCCCCTCTCCTTCCTATCCCCTCCCATTCTCCCTCCCCTCTCCTTTCACTCTCCTTCCCCTCTCCTTCCCCTCTCCTTCCTATCCACTCCCCTTCTTCCTCCCCTCTCCTTCCACTCTCCTTCCACTCTCCTTCACCTCTTTTTTTCCCTCTCCCTCTCCTCAAATCCTCTCAATTCCAACACCCCGCCCGAACTCAAGCCAAATCCTAAATCCTACTTTCCATCCATCTCACGCTACTCTCACTATCATCCCATCCCAACCTGGGCCTATACTTTCACAAAAAGTTTAGTGTTCGTAAGTTCATCAGCCAATCATTGACGGCCTTTCAAGCAAATTCCACCAATCATAGACAAGAAAATAGAGCGTATGTACTTACGTTCACTTAGCCAGTTTTGAAAGTATGGCCCCATATACCATCACATCATGGTGAAGGATATAACAACGGATGGTGAAGGATATAACAACGGTTGGTGAAGGATATAACAACGGATGGTGAAGGATATGACAACGGTTGGTGAAGGATATAACAACGGTTGGTGAAGGATATAACAACGGATGGTGAAGGATATGACAACGGTTGGTGAAGGATATGGCAACGGATGGTGAAGGATATGGCAACGGTTGGTGAATAATATGGCAACGGATGGTGAAGGATATGGCAACGGATGGTGAAGGATATGGCAATAGATGGTGAAGGATATGGCAACGGATGGTGAAGGATATGGCAACGGATGGTGAAGGATATGACAACGGATGGTGAAGGATCTCTGTTGGGCACACGATGTGCCCGATCCACTAGCGATCATTCCTTATTTGTGTGTTTTGTGTGTCATGTGTGTTGTATGTCAAATCAGCCGTGTGTCTTGTGTCTTAAAATGTGTGATGTGTATACTGTGTGTGCAATGTTCTCGTATTTCCAATATAACACTTATTTTGTGTAAGTTTATTTTGAGCACGAGACTTGCCCACACAAATCGCTTCATCCTCTTAATTATTATTCATTTCATTCATCAGAATATTGACGCAGCGAGGCCATTAGCGTATATTAAACTGCGATATGGATAACTTATTTGTACGTGAAAAGATAAGTTGTGTGTACGTGGAAGGATAAGTTGTGTGTACGTGGAAGGATAAGTTGTGTGTACGTGGAAGGATAAGTTGTGTGTGCGTGACGTCATTCGTGGCATTGAGGCTCACCGGCCATTGGCTGGCGCTCTCACAACGCTCCTGTGGCGTGTGTGAGGTGTTGTGAGGAGTGTATGTGAGGTATGAGGTGTTGTGAGTAGGAGTGTGTGGTAGGATAAGTTGTGTGTATGTGGAAGGATACTCCTACTCGCGTGTCGTGAGTAGGAGTGTGAGTGTCGTGAGTAGGAGTGTGAGTGTCGTGAGTAGGAGTGTGAGTGTCGTGAGTAGGAGTGTGAGTGTCGTGAGTGTCTGCGTGTATGTGTGTTTTCTTCTTGTGTGTGTCTGCAGCTGTGTGCGTGTGTGGTTGTATAAGCTTGTGTACATTAATGTGCATGCCGAGTGCCTCCCTGTATGATGCTGTGTCTCAGTGTGTCAAGGTTAGGCCTTGTGTGTGCCTGTATGCCTGTGTGTCTGTTTGACGCATGTATACTCACCATGTAAACGAACGCACGCATTCTGTACACACAACGCACTTGTGCGCACCCAAAATAAAGAAACGCTCGCTTATATAAAGGGCCGCTTATAATATTAAATGATTATCCTTATTACCTACTTTATTAAATAATTACCTATTACTTTCACCTACTTTATTAAATTATTACTTATTACTTTCACCTACTTTATTAAATTATTATTTAGATTAATTTTATTAAATATTTATTTATGATCATTACACTCTAGCGCCCGTCTCCCATCTTGCACATGTACAGATATAGATATATATGCGTGTCTATAATATCTACACTCAAAGTAATTAATGCGTCTCTGTCCTAATGGCGCTGCACTTTATGCGCTCCTCTTGGTCCTCATGAATGAGCTTGACCCGCATAAAGTGATGCACGGAGAAATATGTCCATGTTTGGACAATGTGACTCGTCTCGTTTTCTGAATGTAGGCCTAAATGAAGTTTGTTGTAGCATTACCGTAAATATATACCGCTGTACGATATACCGCTGTACGCTATAACGCTGTACGATATATCTCTTATACACATCTAGATGTGTATAAGAGACAGATCAAGACTACCGTCAAGACCACCATCAACACTACCATCAAGACAACCATCAAGACCACCATCAAAACTACCATCAAGACTACCATCAAGACAACCATCAAGACTACCGTCAAGACCACCATCAAAACTAATATCAAGACTACAATCAAGNAGCAGTTAATTGATACTGTAGCAGTTAATTGATACTGTAGCAGTTAATTGATACTGTAGCAGTTAATTGATACTGTAGCAGTTAATTGATACTGTAGCAGTTAATTGATACTGTAGCAGTTAATTGATACTGTAGCAGTTAATTGATACTGTAGCAGTTAATTGATACTGTAGCAGTTAATTGATACTGTAGCAGTTAATTGATACTGTAGCAGTTAATTGATACTGTAGCAGTTAATTGATACTGTAGCAGTTAATTGATACTGTAGCAGTTAATTGATACTGTAGCAGTTAATTGATACTGTAGCAGTTAATTGATACTGTAGCAGTTAATTGATACTGTAGCAGTTAATTGATACTGTAGCAGTTAATTGATACTGTAGCAGTTAATTGATACTGTAGCAGTTAATTGATACTGTAGCAGTTAATTGATACTGTAGCAGTTAATTGATACTGTAGCAGTTAATTGATACTGTAGCAGTTAATTGATACTGTAGCAGTTAATTGATACTGTAGCAGTTAATTGATACTGTAGCAGTTAATTGATACTGTAGCAGTTAATTGATACTGTAGCAGTTAATTGATACTGTAGCAGTTAATTGATACTGTAGCAGTTAATTGATACTGTAGCAGTTAATTGATACTGTAGCAGTTAATTGATACTGTAGCAGTTAATTGATACTGTAGCAGTTAATTGATACTGTAGCAGTTAATTGATACTGTAGCAGTTAATTGATACTGTAGCAGTTAATTGATACTGTAGCAGTTAATTGATACTGTAGCAGTTAATTGATACTGTAGCAGTTAATTGATACTGTAGCAGTTAATTGATACTGTAGCAGTTAATTGATACTGTAGCAGTTAATTGATACTGTAGCAGTTAATTGATACTGTAGCAGTTAATTGATACTGTAGCAGTTAATTGATACTGTAGCAGTTAATTGATACTGTAGCAGTTAATTGATACTGTAGCAGTTAATTGATACTGTAGCAGTTAATTGATACTGTAGCAGTTAATTGATACTGTAGCAGTTAATTGATACTGTAGCAGTTAATTGATACTGTAGCAGTTAATTGATACTGTAGCAGTTAATTGATACTGTAGCAGTTAATTGATACTGTAGCAGTTAATTGATACTGTAGCAGTTAATTGATACTGTAGCAGTTAGTAAGTAATGAACATATCAGATTTGGAAGAGAATCTTCGAATGCCGACTCCCGTTACTACTGTCAATTGACAGAAGCTCTGCGCACAGTAACGACAGATACCGTCAATTGACAGAAGTAACGACGGACGTACAGTAACGACAGACGTCGGAGAATCGTACCATATCGTACGATTCGATGTCGGACGTTGAAAAATCGTTATTAAATCGCTTTCGTTATTCCCGGATATTGCATCATCATTAAACTTTACTGCTGAACGTGCAGCTTCTGGTAGGAATACCATTATGAGGTCAGAAATTTACTGCATGCCAATGATATCTCTACGAGATTATTCATTATGATCGTAAATAATACCTTCCCAAGCTATGTATATAAAAAATTCTATCAAATTAAAAATAAAGGTTCACGTACAGTTATTTTCCGCAAAATAAAATAAAATGTAAGGTTGTGAGAAAAATTTTGTCAAAATTTTGTCTATGTGGCATAGAGTGGAGCAGATTTACAGACGTAAAAATTTTTTTGTACAGTAAACAAAATTTATAGTACAATAACTTAACGTTTAGAATAAAAAAGACGAAGTTGAACGCTAACATTTGTGCCCGATAGTTGTTTGAGTGCAGAGCTTGTTGACCTAAATAGCGCGTGTGGTGACCTCGACGCGTGTGTGTGTGTGGTGACCTCGACGCGTGTGTGTGTGTGGTGACCTCGACGCGTGTGTGTGGTGACCTCGACGCGTGTGTGTGGTGACCTCGACGCGTGTGTGTGGTGACCTCGACGTGTGTGTGTGGTGACCTCGACGCGTGTGTGTGGTGACCTCGACGTGTGTGTGTGGTGACCTCGACACGTGTGTGTGTGGTGACCTCGACGCGTGTGTGTGGTGACCTCGACGCGTAATCATTTTTTAAATAATAAAATAAAATCCTCGACCCAACAATGGAACTGAGTATAGAAATAAAAAGTTTATGTGAAAACTAATTAAATAACAAAGCACATGCAACACATATTGATTTCGATATTTACCTAATATTCCAAATCAAATTGAAAAATTATTAGATAATCCTGAGTTATTACATGATATGAATCTCCAAACTGTATGAAATTTGCCAGTTATTGGGAATCTTTTAATCATCGTTAGTATTCTATTTGTAATAAATCCTTCAATTGCGGTTGATGTTCAAATAATAATATATCTTACAATTTTTTTAAATTTATTATTATATTCAATACTCTAATTGTATTTATTATCGAAATTTTAGTAATTTTCTTCACGCGCCAACATTTCTTCTCGCTTCGAATCACCGACATGTGGAACAGCCTCCCCGATGACATCGTTGGAGCTCCAAGTATGAACGCGTTCAAGAACAGACTAGATAAAGCTATGGAAAAATATATGTTCAGATTTGAAATGCCTANAGCCTCAGTTATCGACGTCTGCGTGGGGACCTCATTGAAGTATACAAGTATACTCATGGTCTATACAAGGTCCCTGAAGGGTTACTAGAATTTGAAACAAGAACCAACACCAGGGGCCACGGCTATAAGCTAAAAAAATTGCGCTGCAACTTCTCCACGCGACAAAATTTCTTCTCGCTTCGAATCACCGACATGTGGAACAGCCTCCCCGATGACATCGTTGGAGCTCCAAGTATGAACGCGTTCAAGAACAGACTAGATAAAGCTATGACTATGATATATAAAGCACACTATATTGCATGTGTGCATACAAGACTGAAAAGTAGTTGAGGCAGCCTCAGCCCCAACACCCTCAACTCCCCTCATCGGCTTCCCCTCATCCCACTGGTCCCAATATTCAATATAATATATTCCCAATATATATAATAGTCCCAATTCCAATATAGAAAATTCCCCTTCCATTGAACCCCAACACTGTCATCAGATCTTGACACTCCTCCTGACACTCCCCCTCTACCACTCCCCCTCTACCACTTCCCTTCTACCACTTCCCCTCTACTACTCCCTCTCTACCACTCCCTCTCTACCCTGTCTCTTATACACATCTAGATGTGTATAAGAGACAGGAGTGGAGCAGATTTACAGACGTAAAAATTTTTTTGTACAGTAAACAAAATTTATAGTACAATAACTTAACGTTTAGAATAAAAAAGACGAAGTTGAACGCTAACATTTGTGCCCGATAGTNACTCCCCTTCTTCCCCAACCCTCCTCCCCTTCTTCCCCAACCCTCCTCCCCTTCTTCCCCAACCCTCCTCTTCTTCCCCAACCCTCCTCCCCTTCCAGCTGCAACCCCTCTTATCCTTTAGCAGCAACCCCTTCCTTCGTTCATCCCCTCAGAAGTCGTGAACTACAAAGCTTGTTTATTAAAATTGAAAACAAAACATTCCAATAACATACGTAAGCAATTGACGAGAAGCTCAGAAACAAAAAAAAATATTCAAAATTAAAAAGGTGTTTGCATCGAAAGAAAAGCTCGATATAAGTTAGAATTTTATTTAAACAATACCCGAATAACTTCTCCGATCCAGTGCCAAGCTAAAAAAATCATGTTTTTTTTAAAAGAAATCTCAAAATCTCTTTTACCAAAATCGAAAAGCAAAAATAAATAAATAAATATAACTTACCTCGATTTATATTGGGTGAAAGCGAGAAAATGTGAGGTGATATAATCCGAACTAGTTACAGTCACTAGGAACCACCTACTGCAACTAGCAGCCACTAGTATCACGGTACACTCAACTATATTCACTTTCACAGTCGCGTGCTATAATAATCTTGTATATCATCAGTATAGCTGACACACCGGGGACTATACCAGAATATATCACTCAAGACCGGGCTATATTCACACTCAAAAGAGAACGTGGGTCAAAATCTCTAATAAGATGGAGGAAATAAGTCAATATATCTGCCACTTATATTTGTTTTGTGTGATAAATAAGTCAGAAATATAATTGCTGGGTTACTGTTATTGATTAAAAACTTGACGTCCGTTATTTGTATGAGATTAAATCTCAGAGAGAGAAAATCTGTAATAAATATAAATTGTTATCAATATTGATTTGGGATATTGTGTAAGATGCCATTATTTTGGATCACAAAATTGCCTATCGTATCATTTCAACATTAAGGTTGAAATGATACGATGAAGATAACGTACTTAATAAATATTTACCCATAATAACGAAGAATAAATGTAATGATATCGAACGTGAAGTGAAAGCAATTATTTAAGCAGAAGGTAGAAAGAAGTGGTTTCAAAATAGCAATGTGGTAATATGGGGTATATTATAGAAATGCGGTATATAATAGAAATGTGTTATAGAATAGACATGCGGTATAGAATAGAAATGCGGTATAGAATAGAAGTGCGGTATAGAATAGAAATATGTTATAGAATAGAAATGCGGTATATAATAGAAATGTGTTATAGAATAGAAATGCGGTATATAATAGAAATGTTGTATAGCATAGAAATGCGGTAAAATGAGACTGAGAAAGATATTAAAATGATGAAGGAACAAAAATGGAATGAGGAGAATGAATGGCAACATTTGATCATTCATTATTATTAAAATTTTCTTTGTTATTGAAGTTCGGACATCTTAATAATGTCTGGAACTCTAAATGTTTTCTATCTAAAGGCACATATAGACTAACTCTATTTAAATGTATAAAAAAGTGTCCACGAAGTAAACACCGAGAAGATAAGTTCTATTGATGCGTATATCTCTTGACACTTTTGATGTGCACAAATGACACTTTTGATGTGCACTATTGACACTTTTGATGTGCACAGATGACACTTTTGATGTGCACAATTGACACTTTTGATGTGCACAAATGACACTTTTGATGTGCACAAATGACACTTTTGATGTGCACAAATGACACTTTTGATGTGCATAATGGACACTTTTGATGCGCAAAAATGACACTTTTGATGTGCACAATTGACACTTTTGATGTGCACAAATGACACTTTTGATGTGCACAATGGACACTTTTGATGTACACAAATGACACTTTTGATGTGCATAATGGACACTTTTGATGCGCAAAAATGACACTTTTGATGTGCACAATTGACACTTTTGATGTGCACAAATGACACTTTTGATGTGCACAATGGACACTTTTGATGTACACAAATGACACTTTTGATGTGCATAATGGACACTTTTGATGCGCAAAAATGACACTTTTGATGTGCACAATTGACACTTTTGATGTGCACAAATGACACTTTTGATGTGCACAATGGACACTTTTGATGTACACAAATGACACTTTTGATGTGCATAATGGACACTTTTGATGCGCAAAAATGACACTTTTGATGTGCACAATTGACACTTTTGATGTGCACAAATGACACTTTTGATGTGCACAATGGACACTTTTGATGTACACAAATGACACTTTTGATGTGCATAATGGACACTTTTGATGCGCAAAAATGACACTTTTGATGTGCACAATTGACACTTTTGATGTGCACAAATGACACTTTTGATGTGCACAATGGACACTTTTGATGTACACAAATGACACTTTTGATGTGCATAATGGACACTTTTGATGCGCAAAAATGACACTTTTGATGTGCACAATTGACACTTTTGATGTGCACAAATGACACTTTTGATGTGCACAATGGACACTTTTGATGTACACAAATGACACTTTTGATGTGCATAATGGACACTTTTGATGCGCAAAAATGACACTTTTGATGTGCACAATTGACACTTTTGATGTGCACAAATGACACTTTTGATGTGCACAATGGACACTTTTGATGTACACAAATGACACTTTTGATGTGCATAATGGACACTTTTGATGCGCAAAAATGACACTTTGGATGTGCACAAATGACACTTTTGATGTGCACAATGGACACTTTTGATGTGCACAAATGACACTTTTGATGTGCACAATGGACACTTTTGATGCGCAAAAATGACACTTTGGATGTGCACAAATGACACTTTTGATGTGCACAATGGACACTTTTGATGTGCACAAATGACACTTTTGATGTGCACAATGGACACTTTTGATGCGCAAAAATGACACTTTTGATGTGCACAATTGACACTTTTGATGTGCACAATGGACACTTTTTATGTGCACAAATGTCACTTTTGATGTGCACTAATGACACTTTTGATGCGCACAAATGTCACTTTTGATGTGCACAAATGTCACTTTTGATGTGCATAATTGACAATTTTGATGTGCACAAATGACACTTTTGATGTGTACCACACACCAACAATACACTTTCTCCAGCCCGGAGCTGAAGATACATTTACTTCACTGATACTCGAGTAGCAAGTGTCATTGTATTAATTAAACATAAATATGCATACAGAGAACACCTACTACTTTCAACGAGACACTTGCTACTGTTCCCAGTACACTTGCTACTGTTCCCAGTACACTTGCTGCTGTTCCCAGTACACTTGTTGCTGTTCCCAGTACACTTGCTGCTGTTCCCAGTACACTTATTGCTGTTCCCAGTACACTTGCTGTTGTTCCCAGTACACTTGCTGCTGTTCCCAGTACACTTGCTGCTGTTCCCAGTACACTTGTTGCTGTTCTTACTACACTTGCTACTGACACTTTCAACTGACACACTAAATGAAATATTCAATCAAGTTTATTCATCGAGATAACATCGTTCGTTCAAATGTTAGTTCGATTAGAAGTTTTAAATACATATGAGTGTTCGTACCACCTGTGAGTGTAATTTATTGAATGAGAGTTAACGCGCACTCATTTAAGTGTTCTCGTATCTCATTTGAGTGTTCACACTCTATCTGTATGAACAACACACACTATCTGTATGAACACTACACTCAAATGTAGATACTATACGAAATATTTTACACCATCACCCGGGAGTTAACTCAATTCAAGTGTAAACACAACACGTTTGTGTTGACACTACACGCCACACACGTCACACGTGTGTGTGGCGGCCGCAGCGCCACTCACACACAACCTCACTCGCCAACGCGCACAGCGCGAGTGACCGCCACACGGACTGCCGGCACCCCCCCTCCCTGGCACCTTCCCTCCCCAGCCCTCCCCTTTCCTGACACCACCTCCCTGGCTCCCGTCTCTTATACACATCTAGATGTGTATAAGAGACAGACTTGCTACTGTTCCCAGTACACTTNGCTGTACACTCCAACACTCTAGGATTGCTGTACACTCCAACACTCTAGGATTGCTGTACACTCCAACACTCTAGGATTGCTGTACACTCCAACACTCTAGGATTGCTGTACACTCCAACACTCTAGGATTGCTGTACACTCCAACACTCTAGGATTGCTGTACACTCCAACACTCTAGGATTGCTGTACACTCCAACACTCTAGGATTGCTGTACACTCCAACACTCTAGGATTGCTGTACACTCCAACACTCTAGGATTGCTGTACACTCCAACACTCTAGGATTGCTGTACACTCCAACACTCTAGGATTGCTGTACACTCCAACACTCTAGGATTGCTGTACACTCCAACACTCTAGGATTGCTGTACACTCCAACACTCTAGGATTGCTGTACACTCCAACACTCTAGGATTGCTGTACACTCCAACACTCTAGGATTGCTGTACACTCCAATACTCTAGGATTGCTGTACACTCCAACACTCTAGGATTGCTGTACACTCTAATACTCTAGGATTGCTGTACACTCTAGGATTGCTGTACACTCTAGGATTGCTGTACACTCTAGGGTTGCTGTACACTCTAGGATTGCTGTACACTCTAGGATTGCTATTCACTCTAGGATTGCTGCACGCTCTAGGATTGTTGTACACTCTAGGATTGCTGCACGCTCTAGGATTGTTGTACACTCTAGGATTGCTGCACGCTCTAGGATTGCTGTACACTCTATGATTGCTATACACTCTAGGACTGCTGTACACTCTAGGATTGCTGTTCACTTTAGGATTGCTGTTCACTCTATCACTCTAGGATTGCTCTAGAAGCGGCCTCCTCCACGTGACCTCTAACGTCACTATGTAGGTCAGTGTTACACTTCCGTCTAGAGGGTAACCCGTCTGATCCTGTACACCAGACATGGTCAGACAGACGGCAATTTTGTTCAACCTGTCAACTTTTTAATATTTAACTTTTAAAATTTTATTTGAATTTTTTATTTGAATTCCTACTGAAATTGTGGAAGCCATTGGCACCGCTTCGGGACGGCACCTAACTGGACATGACTCTAATAGGATCTGAAACTTTACCGGCGAAAAATGCATCTAGTCTTGACGGTCTTTCATTGACAGTGTTATTCTTATGAATGAACGAAGAATTGATCGAGAATGCGTCGATTATCATGAATGGCTGGAAGACAGATGGTTGCCACGTTGTAGTGACAATAATACGCTTCTACTCGTGCAGCAGCGTGCAGAACTCATGCAGCTTTAGCAGTGCGCAGCAGCAGCAGCATGCAGCAGTGCACAGCAGCGGGAGCAGTACACAGCAGCAGCAGCTGCAGCATGCAGTAGCAGTGCACAGCAGCAGCAGCAGCTCCTGCAGCAGCAGCAGTGCACAGCTCCTGCAGCAGCAGCAGCAGCAGCAGCAGCTGCAGCTCCTGCAGCAGCAGCAGCAGCAGCAGCAGCTGCAGGAGCTGCAGCTGCAGCATGCAGTAGCAGTGCACAGCAGCAGCAGCAGCAGCTGCAGCAGCGTGCAGCAGCAGCATTGCACAGCAGCAGTGCACAGCAGCAGCAGCGTGCAGCAGCAGCAGCAGCAGCAGCAGCTGCAGCATGCAGCAGCTCTCGCTCTGCAAGGCCAAGGCCAAACAACAGCCTCGCTTGTGCTGCTCTTGTTGTCGCTGTTGTTCTTTTTGCTGTTGTTAGCTTTGATGTAATTGTGAGTTTTGATGCTGCTGTTGATGCTGCTGCTGTTGATGCTTCTGTTGTTTCTGTTGCTCTCACTGTTGTTTGTTTTTGTTTGCTTTTG